CCGTCTCACTCTCCAGGGGCGGGCGGGGCAGCCATGCGCTTGTCCGGGGGTGAACCCCCGGCGCTGGAATGGTTCATGGTGCAGACAAAATCGAAGCCTCGGGTGCAGCGGCAGCGGCTGCAAGTGCAACGCATCTTCAGGGTGAAGCTGAACGCCTTCCAGAGCCGTCCTGACACCCCCTACTTCTGGCTGCAGCTCGAGGGGCCCCGGGAGAACACCAGCAAAGCTAAGGTAAACAGCCCTCCCCCCTCCAGCTAAACCTGTCCTCTCCTCCCTCCCCGGGAGATAGAGGTTCCCAGATGTGGACGTAACACGGATCCCAGATGTGACCGATCTGAACTCCGCAGTGTGGCTTGCAGGTACTGGAACATCCTCTCATCTATCCAGATCTGCAGCCCTGGCTCCTTCCCTACCCACTCCTTCTCTCTGATGCCTGTTTCCTTTCTGCCCCACCCCTCTCTGGCCTGTCACTTCTGTCCCTCAAGTGCACCGTTGCCGCTGCCGGGACAGCCTGCATGGGTAGCAAGCTTTCCCTGGCCAGGCCGCAGTGTTCCCTGCCTGCTTTTCCATCTGGGGAGTGGTTTAAAGGTCCTGCATTTCTGTGGCTTCTGAGATACACCTCTTTGTTCTCCACCAAGCCTCTGGAAGGCCTGTATCCTTGTCTCCTTACATCTGTCCTACCCAGTGCTGGGACTGAAGACATTCCAGAACAATTGTGACATTTTATGGATGAAACATTGAGGGCCTGCCTGAAAACTCAGGGTCAGATAGTCGTGGGGTGGTGAGGCTGGATTTGAACCCAGGACTCTGGGCTCGCTGCCTCACACTCTTGGTGTTGTAGGTGGCCTCTTAGGGGGTCTGGGTGGGGTGTGGCTGCTCTGCAGACCCTAGTTCTTGGGGATGGGAGATAATCCAGGAGGAAGATGGTGGGCTTTCAGGTGAAACGGCCTGCTGCTGTGTGGGGCTGGACTTTGGATTGCCAGTTCATAGTTTGTCTCTCTTGCCTCTCTCACGAGCTTATCCTGCTTGGGTCTCTCAGTTCCACCCCCAGTCCCATCCAAGGTCGCTCTCTTTGCTCAAATTCCCCTACCTTATCTCTTGCTGGTAGGCATGTACAGGCTCTATCTGCCTAAGACTGCTTTCCCGCTCGTGCACGCACACACACACACACACACACACACACACACACACACACACATGCCATGGGTGGGAGAGGCCCAGAACACAGCCAGTAGGAGGGCAATCATGCTGGGGAGTGCCTCCCTCAGCCCTGTCAACCTGCCATCAGCAGTTTTTCTAATTCTGTCTAGGGGTGTGTGTGCCCAGAAAACAGATGGGCAGGGTGCAGGAGCTGAGCCCCTATAAGTGTAACAAACTTCAGGATCTGGGAGAGGGTAGGTTAACAAGAGGAACCTGTTGGGTTCTTAATCTTTTTGTTACCATGAGAAATTGCACTCACTCTAGAATGGGACAGCATTTTCTGACATGCCCAGCTCCTCTGCTGCCTGCTTAAATCCTCGGTTGGCTTCTCTAGGCCTGTCAGTTCCAGCTTCCACTGCTGCCCACCCCACTGCCCCCAGGGTTCCTGGGGCCATGGATCCTCACACACTATAGGTTCCCACTTGGAGTACTGCTAAATGATCTCAAGGGTTCCCTCATTCCCTTTCCTAGCCCCCACCCCCTGGGGGGGGGCACTGCTGACCTGGGAGGGAATTCTGGGTAACTCCTTCTGTTATTACACAGATGAACAGAAAAGAAATTCTGGGGATAATGTTTTGTCCCAGGGCATGGAGATCTGGGTTTGATGTGCTGTCACCAAAATATAGCTCAGATAGAGGTATGTGGTGGTGGAGTGAAATTGGTGTTAGCTACATTGTAATACTTTCTTCCCCAGGGGATTGAACCCAGGGAGTACTGAGCTCTTTTTAAAATTTTGAAACAGGGTCTCACTAAATTGCCCAGGTTAGCTTTGAACTTTGTGGTTCTTTTTCCTCAGCCTTCTGAGTAGCTGAGATTGTAGACATGTGCTGCCATGCCCAGCTCTAACCATGCCCAGTTCTAACCAAGTGACCTGGGTCAAATAATTTGCTTCTCCTTGAGTCATTTTCCTTATTTATAAAACCTTATAATAATTCATTTCATGGGGGGAGGTTGTCAGGGTCAGCTGAAATAGTGCATGCTTAAGTACTTTTGCACAAAGTGAAGAGCTATAGGGGATAAATGTCAGATAGTATTATTATTAACGAGCTGTGTAACTGAACAAATTCTTTCTCTCTCTGAGTCTTACTGTCCTTGTTTGTAAAGCGACAGGCTTAGATTAAACTCTATGTGAACATTTTCCCCAAACATATAGATGTCTCGTGGTTTCTACATGGAGGTGGTGTGGCTGACCCTAGTTGTAGCCGTTAGGGGCACAGAATCTTGCATTTTGTACACAGGCTCACTGGTAGAGGTTGCAGGGTTGGGTGGCTTGTCTGGGTGAAGGAGGAGTCAAGAAGGATGCAGGCTTATCTGGATAAGTGCCTGCGTGTGTATTTATATCACATGCACTTGGCTATCCAAGAAAATCTGTAAAGCTAGTATGCCTTTAAATTGTTTTGCACTTAGCAAGTGTAGGTCCAGAGCTCAATCCCTGGTACCAAAAAATACATTGTTGTACATCACATTCTCAAGGAGCAAAACAGAGTGGGGAAGTGTGGCTTCTCTGAGGAGAAATTAGCAGTAGGAGAGGGGAATGTTAATAATTACTGGGGGAGCCCAGAGACTAGTCCTGTTCATCCCTCCTGACCTTCCTGGTAGTGATGTGAGGATGTGATGATGCACTGAGCAACAGAAAGGAGAGAGGGCATGTTCCCTTCTCTTCTTTTCAGAGAGAATGGAAAGAGGTGATGGGAAGCCCAAAGTCAGAAGCAGTAGAGGAGGTGACGTCTGGGTCCTAGGTTCTGGAGCTGTGGGGCAGGCCGAGGCTCCCTGGCTTTGGTGTGGCTGTCAGATGGAAGTTGAACTGTGCCTGCTCCATAGTAACTATGAGCAGAACTGTGTGAGTTGGTTGTGGTCAGGGGAGCCCTGGCCTTGGCTCCCATGGACCCATTGTTAAGATTTCAGGAATTTTGTAAGCCAGTGAAATGCTATTGACAGCCTTAGTGGGAATATTTACCCCACAGAAATTTACAAATACTGCAAATCAGGGATGACTCCTGACCTGTGCTGATTGTGAAACATTTACTGGCATACCTGATTGTCCTGTGAGCACCCAACCCCTCTTTTCCTTTAAATTTAAGTTTTCTTTTATTAACTAATATACATTTTAAAAGTCCAATACTTTTATAAAAATTTGCAAATGCAATAACTCTTGCCCCGTCTTTCTCAACTCCCTGTTCAGTGTTCTTTCCCAGGGATGATGTTTACTATGGCACTTTTTTGGGGGGTACTGGGGATCGAACTTGGAATCTTGTTCTTATGAGGCAGGCAGCTGCACCACTGAGCTAAATCCCTGGCCATACTATGGCATCTTTTGATCAATTTTGGATGTTATCTTTTTAAATTTTTACTGTATGTGAGTATTTAGCTCATTTATACTGCTATTCCTTCTTTCTTCCCAATATAGTTACGTTTCAGTTTTGTGTAATCTATTTTTAGTAGTTGTCTAGTAATGTCTGTGCACATATCGTGCATTGATGTGCATGCATCTGTGCATTGAAGTGAACTATGATTTCATTGTCTTTTTCCTTTTTTGACTTCACTGAGGTTAAGAACTCCTTGTTCTTCAATTTGCTTTGTACCCATTGCTAATTCTTACACCTCCCAGTAGCCTCTCAGTACAGCTTTCTACAGGTCAGTATGCTAGTTGGCTTTCTATAATTGTGACAAACTACCCGAGGTGAACAATTTGTAAGGAGGAAAGGTTTATTTTGGCTTATGGTTTCAGAGATCAGTCCATAGTTGCTTAGTCTTCTTACTTTGGGCCTGTGGTGGCATGGTACATCCTGGTGGGAGCACATGGTAGAGGAGCCTTCTTCACTGCATGGCATCTGGGAAGCAAAAGAGAGGAAGGGGCTGGGGCTCAAATATCCCCTAAAGGCCATGGTCCCTGTGACTTCACTTCCTTCCAATTTAACCTGCCATCTCATGGTGAAGAGACAGAGGCCCTAAGAAGGTTTCCACAATTCTAATCAGTGTTGGCCAAGAAGGAACTAGAATTAGGTCTCCTTGACTTCAAGCCTGAGTCTTTTCCTACTTCTTCCTCAGATTTCTCCATTCCATCAACATTTCCTGGAAAAAAATGAGTGCATGAGGGGACAGGATCAGGAGAGATTGGCTGCCCTGGGAGAATGAACGGGGGAGCACATGCTCAATAAGGAGCTGGCTGGGGGTCGGGGGACAGAGCCGGTGCCAGCCTGTGACAGACTGGCTTCCTTTGACTCCCCCCATGTGCCCAGGAGTATCTGAAGGGCCTGTGCAGTCCAGAGCTGTGGAAGGAGGTCCGCTACCCACCGATGCTGCACTGCGCCTTCCTCGGAGCCCAGGGCCTCTTTCTGGATTGCCTCTGCTGGAGTACCCTAGCCTATCTGGTGCCTGGCCCTCCTGGCTCCCTCATGGTAGGCGGGCTCACTGAGTCTTTCACCATGACCCAGAACTGGCTGGAGGAGTTGGTGGCACGGCTGCGCTGGGGCCCTGCCCCTCTGCTGACCCCCCGGGGAATCTGGGAGGCCGAGGTAACCCGGGCCTTTGGGGCCCTGGTGTGGATCCGTGGTGATCAGTATGCAGGGGACCTGCTGCAGCTGCCCCCAGCCGTTCAGGAGCTGCTGCTGAGCTTGGTGCGGGATGCTGCAGGCAAGGAGGATATCATTGAGTGGCTCAGCCACTTCGGCATCTCCAGCACCCGCTCTGGTCCAGGGGCCCTGATCAGCCTTCCCCAGCAGCAAAAGGAAGACTCAGCCGTGGTGTCCACGGGAGAGAGTCCTGGGTCCTTCCTTGAGACGGGGACACTCCAAAATGGGGGCCCAGAAAATCCAAAGAGATTAAGCAGCCTGGGAGCCACCAGGTCCCTGATCCCAGTCCAGAGCACACAGCAGGAGACAGCAAACCAGGTGGTACGGTAAGTTCTGGGCAATGAGCCTGGCTTCTCCGCCCCTACCCCTGCCCCTCTACCCCATGAAATGGTAGTAATTTGGGAAAAACTGGCCTTCCCACCTTTTCAACAAACTTGGGCTTCTTCTAGGGTCGGTTCCAACAACCAAAGTGGTACAGACAGTGATCGAGAAGAAGGGCTGGTACGAGCCACCAGCCGCCAGAACTCTGTGAACCGCACACCAGCTTTGTTGCAACAAAATCAGGTCCAGAAGATAGAAGACAAATTCCCCTTCCAGCCTCCAGTGTCAGCCCTGGGTATGTGTCCATCCTGGAAGGCCTGGACTCCAGGGCCAGCCTTTGGGCCTTTGTGGCCCGGGACTATTGCTGCAGCCTTCTGGAGGATCAACGAGCTGCATTCTCTGCACCTGGCCTGCCTCCTGTCCCAGGCCTGCTTCAGTCTCCCATTCTGGCAGAGGCCGCTTGGCCCCATTCAGCTGAAGCTGCCAGGGCAGAGTCCTTTGCCCTTAAATCTAGAGTGGAAGCAGAAGGAGCTGGCTCCTTTGCCTAGTGCAGAAAGCCCAGCTTGTAGACCAGATGGGGAACTTGGAGTAGAGGCAACTCTACAGAATTGCCCAAGGCCAGAGACACCCCCAAAAGTCATGAGTTTATTAGTGGTTCCAGGAGGCTCAGGTGAAAAGGACAAAGTTAGCCCAACACTTCCACCTTTGGCCTCTGCTGCGCAACTACAAGGTGGAGGTGAGCAAAGGAACCAAGGAAGTCTGCAGCCAGATTGTATGTGGCTGGAAAAGGGGCCCCCTCCAGCACCACCCACAGAACAGCGGGTGCCTACAGCTGAAGGAAGGCATGTGGCTCAAGGTGGGCTGACAGTCCAGTCAGTACCTGAAGCTGGAACAGTGCCTGAAGCTCTCGAAGTGCCCATGGCTGCAGTAGTGCCCAAAGCTGAAAACCCACCCCTAACTCAAGGGCAGCCTGCAGCTCCCGAAGTGCCTTTGACTCTGACAATGCCTGCTGCTCAAGTGGTGTCCACAGCTCAAAAAGCTGCTGTGGTTCAACCAGCATTGGCATCAGCAACTCAAGTGATGTCTACAACTCTAAAAACTGCCATCGCACAAAAGATGCTGGCAACCAAAACATCACCTGCAAGTCCCAAAACACTCAAAGCTCAAACGGGGCCTGTGACTAAAATGGGGTCTGCAGTACCCAAAGCATCTGCAGCTCCTAAGACATCTGCAGCTCCCAAAGCACCTGCAGCTTCTAAAGCCTCCAGATCTCCCAAAACACCTGGAGACCAGAAGGCGTCCTCCAAAGTAGCCAGACTTCTGACTGAGGTCCAGCCTTCGTCAAGGGGTGATGCCTCCCTACCAAAGGACCAGGGGGAGCCTGGAAGGCAGGTTGCCCAGCCCAGCAGTAAGCACCAGCTCCTGGGGTCTTGGGAGTGGGGCCCGAGGCAGTCACCTCGCTACCCACAGGCGAACAGCACAGTGACCAGCTTCCAGAGGTACCACGAGGCCCTGAACACACCCTTTGAGCTGAACTTGTCAGGAGAACCTGGGAACCAGGAGTTGCGCAGGGTGGTCATTGATGGCAGCAGTGTGGCCATGGTGTGAGTAGCCACGGGTGAGGGCTGGGCTGGGGATGCCAGCAGCTGGGGCAGGGAATTCACAGGCAGTGGAGTGTGGGCATCCTGTCTTGACCCAAATAAAAGGCTTAGGATTGAATGGGGAAAGGATGGAAGGGAAATGGCACGTTGAGTGGCCACTGCATGCTAAGCATCATGCAGCAGATTGTCCCAGCAGCTCCAGGAGGGAAGGTTTCTGTTCTTCCCCTTTGGTAGAGGCAGATACAAGATTGGAGGTGAGGAATCTCGCCCGAGGTCCCTGAGTCACTCAGGGGATAGGTTAGCCTCTGGGTTCAGGTCTGTCTACTGCCAAGGCCTATGCTCCTCCCAGGCTGGCTTTTAAACATTTGGTCCAAACATCAAGGCCCTGCACAGATTTACTCTGAAACTTTTCCTGACCAGGCCAACCCTTCAATATTGCCCTCCCAGTGCAGTGCTTACTGCTGTAGAGGTCTTAGCGTAAATACATGCTGTGCTGCTTAATTTGCCACATGGCAGCATAGTTATTCATGATGAGCACATTCTCAGCACACAACAGGCAAGCAGGGAATTTTTATTTGCTTTAAGGTCTAAAACAGAGCTCTTTGAGAATGGCATTACCTTCTTCTTTCTTTTGTCCCCATTGTCCATCTACATATACACGTGCACACAGGCAGCATCTGTAATTGCTCTGTACCCAGCAGCTGCTCACGGAATGTTTGGAGATGGAGGGCAGGGAGAAGAGCATTGTGGTGTCTTTCGTGCTGATGCTCTTGCCCTGGCACTGCCTGCTTGCTGCCCTGGGTGGCTCTGAGCGGGGAGTCGTGAGGCAGGTCCTTCCTCTTGTTTTGGGGGAGCTGCTCCCTCACTTCCCACCATCCCACAGGCACGGCCTCCAGCATTTCTTCTCCTGCCGAGGCATTGCCATGGCAGTGCAGTATTTCTGGAACCGGGGACACCGAGAGGTCACTGTCTTTGTACCCACCTGGCAGCTGAAGAAGAACCGAAGGGTGAGAGGTGAGGTGTGCACTGTCCACTCCTGCCCTCCGGCATCATCATGGTTTTCTTCTCCTTTCTGCTCCACCTTCCCCCACTCCACCATGGCCTTTCCCATTTAGCCCTTCCTCTGACCATTTTTGCCCTCGGCCTTTTTCACCCCCAGAAAGCCACTTTCTGACGAAGCTCCACTCACTCAAGATGCTTTCAATCACCCCCTCCCAGCTGGAGAACGGCAAGAAGATCGCCACCTACGACTACAGGTGTGCCGCTCCCTGGGGTCTCTGTGGGGCTTGGCTGGGCTTGGGTGGAGTATCAGGTGTATCCCTGCCACATCTTCTCTGTGGAAATGGTGGCATATGTGTCAGGGGGATAATGTCTGAGAGGACTGGATAAGGCCCAAGTGAGGAGAGGGCTTCAGGTTGGCTCTACCCAAGCCCAAGGGTTGCTCCTGACTTCGAGACTCTGGTGCTCCATTTTCCTGAGTTAACTGGCTTTCTTCACCATGGACAGTGTTGTCCAACATGCACCACTGTGGATCAGACAAGCCCAGATAATTCCTCATGCTTCCAGTGAGCATCAGCGGTACCTTAGGCTTTTGGGTATCAGTTTAGGTTGAAGTTCAAGGGCCTGCTTTGGCCTTTTTTTTTCCCCTCCAAGTCCTGCTATGAGAGGAGGTGTGTGTGTAAAAGAATGCCTTGGGCAAGACTCTGGAAATGGAGTTAGACTGGCTGCATCTGCCTAAATCCCAAATGCCTCTGTACCTGCCACTCTTAGGTATCAGCTCTTCAGTGAGGCTGCAGGACCAGGGAAGCCCATGCCCCTGCCTCTGTTGGGGTGAAAAGGCCTTGCCAAAGGCACTGGTTCTGGCCTGGAGTTGAGGTGGGGCAGACAGAGATCTTGGCTTCACTAGGCATCTCCTGTGCTGGGCAGGGAAAAGTTCCATTTTTTTCCGCTACTTTTCCCAAGGCATGATATCTATCTATTCAACTCTCTAGCCTAGGAAAGCTGGGCAGGGCTTCTCAAGGCCCCTCCTTCTCCAGCTATCCCCAGGTAAGACCTCTACGAGGCTGTCAATTCTGGCCTGGGTTTGAGGAAGGATGCCTTTCTACAGAAGACCCTTCTGCTGGGCACTTGTGGGATAGCATGCTTGGGGTAGCCAGAGTGATAATCTTCAGAAATGTGGAGAAGTAGGTAGCCTTTGCTTTCTTTCTTGGTCACAGCACTCCTTAGAGGAGAGGTAATCCTTGGAAAAATAGATTTTCAAAATTCAAGTTTGTGTTTTTATGTGTGTTAATATATATGCATTATTTCTTGGCCTGCATATGAATGTTGTGCATTAATGAAGAATATTGGAATATGATTTGTGCATAGGCTGTGTTGCAGGCATTGAGCTAGACACTTTAAATGCATTATCTCATTGAACTTAATTTTTACAGTGATACGGGGTAGGGATTTTATCTCCATTTTACAATTGCAAAGACATAAGCAGTACATACACACCCGTAAAGTGGGTGGGTTTCTGTATCTGTGTGTATGTATCTAACAAGGCTTGCATGTATACTTGAGGTGTGTGCATCCTCCTGGGGGTCCCAGATGGCTTCGGTGGGGGGGTACTTCACAGCCCCGAATCCCTGGCTGTGTGGGGCAGTGTTTTTGTCCTGCACACCTCTCTGTGAAGCTGCAAGTTCATTTTCTCAGGGGACCCAGAAATTGACGGGGCTGGTTTCTGGGTCATTAGTGACTCCTTGTTTCCCTTCAGGTTCATGGTAAAGCTGGCAGAGGAGACAGACGGCATCATTGTTACCAATGAGCAGATTCACACCCTGATGAATAATTCCAGGAAACTCATGGTCAAAGATCGGTGAGACAGCTCCTGAGGGGTGGGATCCACTTGCCTTTCATGTCAGGTAGCCCCTGGCAAAACAGATGATGGGGCTGGGACAGGGGCCCTAGTGTAGGGTTCACTAGCACCTTCCGGAAGGTGGGGGTATCAGCCAGGCAGTAGCAGGGCATGGGAAAGTAAGGGCTTATCTAACACCACGGCCCTTTGTCTTCTGGGCCCAGCCTGCTGCCCTTCACTTTTGCTGGGAATCTCTTCATGGTACCAGATGACCCCCTGGGCCGTGATGGCCCCACCTTGGATGAGTTCCTGAAGAAGCCAAACAGGTAATATATGAAACCATCCTGAGAGGAACCAGAAACGTCCCTTTAGTGTTAGCCAATGTTGTCTGCTGCTCAGTCATCAGCAGAACAGAGTGACTGGCTGTTTTCATGTCAGTACACTTTGGTTATCTATTGATGCAGCCATAAACCACATTTCACACATGCTTTAATGCTGTATGTTCCTTCCATAACTGGCATTTGTGTTCAGTGTTTTACTATTTTTTTTCAGATATATGCCATAGTGATTTATATAGTACACATTGATGGCCATGTAGTATTTATGTAACGGATAAATACCCATGTAGCAGACTTATCTATTTTCTAATTGAAGGCCTTTTGACTATTTTTTTTTTTTGAGATGCGGTCTTGCTATGTAGTTCAAGCTGGCCTTGAACTCACTATAGCCCAGGCTGGCCTTGAACTCCTGCCTCAATCTCCCAAATGCTAGGGTTACAGGCATGTGCCACCATGCCAGGCTGACTGTATTTTATGCTATTGGTGCCAATGTAGCAGTGAAATTCAGTTAGATGTAAAGGACCACTGTCATTTATGAATGCGGAATCTGAAACTCAAGTGACTTTTTCAAGGTCACTTTGCTGGTGTCAGGAGAACAGCCTTGCAGTCACTGATTCTCTGGCTTCCATCCTCTCCAAACCACTTTGCTGCACACCTTGAAGGACTCTGGGCCCAGTAAAGGGTCTTGGTGGGGACCCTCTGTACAGGGTGCTACTTCCCAGGCGTGACCCTTTGTCTCATTTCTGCAGTTTGGAAAGGAGGCTGAGGTCTGTCGACTGAGAGTGGGGCTCCCCTCCCGTGTTGCTGTCACCATGGGGTTAGGTTGTAAGCTGCCAATCACCTCTTAGCAAACCACTGGTTTAAAATTAGGTTAAATGCATCCTGCTTAATGCAGTTTTGCTTTTACGTTGAAGTTCTGGCAGATACAGAGCAAGAGCAAGAATTAACAGGTAAGGACCTGGTGGAGCCCTTGCTGTACAGATAGGGGCCTGGCACTCAACCCAGCCTTGGAAACATTTAGGAATGGGGCAGGGCTCTGTGGGGTATCCACAGGTATATGTTTTCTCTTGGATGACATCTGGGGGTGGGACTGTCCCCTTTCCCTCTTCCACCTGTCTTTCAGGTTGGACACAGACATTGGCAACTTCCTGAAGGTGTGGAAGACCCTTCCACCCAGCTCAGATGGCATCTCTGAACTCAGTGATGACACCGACCCTAGGCCCTTGCAGGGTGCACAGAATGTGGAAGAAGTCAGGGAGGAGAAAGAGGAGAGGCAAGATGAAGAGTGGAGAGAGGGCCAGGGAATGCCAGAGTGGGCTGAGGAGGACGACTTGGACTCTTCTCTGGCGTCAGTATTCAGAGTTGAGTGCTCCTCCCTGTCAGAGGAGATTCTCCAGTGCCTCAGCCTCCACGACCCTCCCGACGGAGCCCTGGACATTGACCTCCTGCCAGGGGTGGCCTCTCCCTACCTGGGCATCCCCTGGGATGGGAAGGCTCCCTGCCAGCAGGTTCTTGCCCAGCTGGCCCAGCTCACCACCCCTAGTAACTTCACTGTGCTGTCCTTCTTTGTGGGGTTTATGGACTCCCACCAGGATGTCATCCCTGACTACGAAGCCCTAATGGGCCCTCTACACAGCCTCCTCAAGCAGAAGCCAGACTGGCAGTGGGACCAGGAGCATGAGAAGGCCTTCCTGGCCCTGAAGCGAGCCCTGGTGTCCGCCCTCTGTCTGACAGCCCCCAATTCCCAGATGCCCTTCCGCCTGCAGGTGACAGTGAGCCAGGTGGCCCTGACAGCTGTTCTCTGCCAGGAGCACTCAGGGAAGAAGCACCCCATTGCCTACACCTCAAAGCCTCTGCTCCCGGATGAGGACAGTGAGGGCCCCCAGTCAGGCGGGGACAGCCCCTATGCCGTTGCCTGGGCCCTCAAGCATTTTTCCCGCTGCATTGGAGATGACCCAGTGGTCCTCAACCTTGCCTACGCCTCCCGGACCACTGTGTCTCCTCAGGCACCAGAGGGCCGCCGGGTCTCCAAAGCATGGTTGATTCGATGGTCCCTTTTGGTACAGGACAGAGGCAAGAGAGTCCTGGAATTGGCCCTTCTCCAGGGCCTGCTGGGGGAAAACCGACTGTTGACACCTGCTTCCTCGATGCCTCGTTTCTTCCAGGTCCTGCCTCCTTTTTCTGACCTGTCCACTTTTGTCTGCATTCACATGTCAGGCTACTGCTTTTACCGTGAGGATGAGTGGTGTGCTGGTTTTGGCCTCTATGTCCTGTCTCCCACCAGTCCCCCTGTCTCCCTTTCCTTTTCCTGCTCCCCTTACACCCCGACCTATGCCCACCTGGCGGCTGTGGCCTGTGGCCTGGAGCGATTTGGCCAGTCCCATCTCCCTGTGGTTTTCCTCACCCACTGCAACTGGATCTTCAGCCTCCTCTGGGAGCTCCTGCCCCTCTGGAAGGCCCGGGGCTTCCTCTCCTCTGACGGGGCTCCACTACCTCACCCAAGCCTGCTCTCTTACATTATATCCCTCACCTCTGGCCTTTCATCCCTCCCATTCATCTACCGAACCTCCTACAGGAGCTCTCTATTTGCTGTGACAGTGGATAACCTGGCCAAGCAGGGTGCCCAAGGGGGTGGGCAGTGGTGGAACTTGCCAAAGGATGTGCTGGTCCCTGTAGTGACTCCCCGTACCATGGTTAAGAGGCCCAACCTGCTGGCATTGCAGCTGAGTGACAGCACTCTGGCTGATATCATTACCAAGCTTCGTGTGGGGCAGAAATTGTCTGGCTCCTCCCCCTTCAGTTCTGCCTTCAACTCACTCAGCCTTGACAAGCAGAGTGGGTTGCTTATGTTCAAGGGAGATAAAAAGCCCAAAGTCTGGGTGGTCCCGAGGCAACTCCGGAGGGATCTGGTTTTCTCTGTGCATGACATTCCTATGGGGGCCCACCAGAGGCCAGAGGAGACTTACAAGAAATTGCAGTTGCTGGGATGGTGGCCTGGGATGCAGGAGCATGTGAAGGATTACTGCAGGAGCTGCCTGTTTTGCATCCCCCGGAATCTCACAGGCAGTGAGTTGAAGGTCATTGAGTCCCCGTGGCCCCTCAGGTCGACTGCCCCCTGGTCGAACCTGCAGATCGAGGTGGTGGGTCCAGTCACCATAAGCGAGGAGGGCCACAGGCATGTGCTCATCGTGGCTGATCCCAACACCCGGTGGGTGGAGGCGTTCCCGCTGAAGCCCTACACACACATGGCTGTGGCCCAGGTGCTGCTTCAGCATGTGTTTGCACGGTGGGGCGTTCCTGTGAGACTGGAGGCAGCCCAGGGCCCCCAGTTTGCCCGGCACGTCCTGGTGAGCTGTGGGTTGGCCCTGGGAGCCCAGGTGACTTCCCTGAGTAGGGACTTGCAGTTCCCCTGCCTGGTGAGCTCAGAGGCCTATTGGGAATTCAAGAGGGCCCTAAAGGAGTTCATCTTCCTGCATGGCAGGAAGTGGGCAGCCTCCCTGCCTCTTTTGCACCTGGCCTTCAGAGCCTCTTCGGCAGAGGCCACGCCCTTCCAGGTCCTGACAGGGGGTGAGAGGAGGCTGACTGGGCCCCTGTGGTGGGAGATGAGTAGTGCCAACATCGAAGGGCTGAAGATGGATGTTTTCCTGCTGCAGCTGATTGGGGAGCTGCTGGAGCTCCATTGGAGGGTGGCGGAAAAAGGCACCGAGAAGGCGGACAACAGGCGCTTCAAGCAGGAGAGCCAGGAGAAGGAGTGGAATGTGGGTGACCAGGTCCTCCTGCTGACCCTCCCCAGGAATGGCAGCAGTGCCAAATGGGTGGGGCCCTTCTATATTGGGGACCGGCTAAGCCTGTCTCTCTATAGGGTGTGGGGCTTCCCAACCCCGGAGAAGCTGGGGTGCATCTATCCCAGCAGTTTGATGAAGCCTTTTGCCAAGAGTGGCACACCCTTGTCCTTTAAGGTCATGGAGCAATGAGCTGGAGCACTGGGGGAGTCCTCCATCCAGGGAGTCCTGGGTTTCTGCTGCTAGGCCTCCCCCTGCCTCCTGCAGTGCTCTCAGCTGTTTGGGAGCCTTCTGTTGTGCCTTGTGTAGAGAAGTTGCTTGCTAAAGTTTTGCTGAGTTGCCTTGAACTAGGGACCAGTGTTCCTATGGAAACAGCCCCAGTTTGGGGTATTTGGAGAATTTGCCAAAGGCTGCCAAATATGAGCCTCTGGTGATTTTACACTGGGGAGTAGAAAGTCTCCTTACTAAAGTAGGCCAGGCTCAGAGTCTTTTCCCCAAGTATCCTCTTTCCCTTTCACACACATGTAGGTGTGTGGTGGTGTGTGCCAACACCATCCCCCAGTCTTATTTCTGGCTGTCTTAACCATGAAATAGTGAGGCTCTGGCTCATAATTGGAACTATAGTCCTCTCCCAAACAGGAACCACGAACGTGGCACCTCCCTTCAACCTGTGTACTTGGGGAGCCTCTGCCCTTGGAGTTGTCACTGATACAAACCTGTGCGGGCAGTGGGGTGGGGGCAGTTGGCTCCTTAGCCTCATGGCTAGCTTTCTTAGGACAGGCTTGGCTTCCTCTGCTGTCCCGGAAGGGCTGGCCTCAGGGGCAGTGGCCCAGGGTGGGAGGTTGGACAGCCTCAAGTCATGTACTTGTCAGCATGGGAAAGGCAGGATGGGATAAGTTGGTCTACCTCATTTGACTCCAGCTGATGGAGACAACTCCTGACCCCCACTTTGATGGTTTTGGCTGCATAGGGGTTAAGGATCTAGATGCCAAGTTGGCATCTCTACCTGAAGAGCTGCTTCTACTAGACCAAGGGGCCCCAGCCTCTGTTTTAAAGGGGAGGGCATCAGAAATGAGCAATCTGGCACACAGCCAGGCACAGGTGTTTCTTTACCTCCTGATCCTGCCCAACCCCATCCCAAAACCTACAGCCCTCCTTTTTTCACTTCCACTGTTCCCTGTGTCCTTAGACACTATGTAGTGTGTGATTGCTTTTGTCTGGAAGCCCCTCCCAGCCCCCAGTCCTCTGAAACCCTAGCTCCCCCAGAACTGTTCTCTGGAGAGATCACTCTTAGTAAGTGAGCTCTCATAGGTGTGTGTGCTGACACTCAGCCCTCTGAATCGGAGCTGCTGCAGAACAGCCAGTCTCCAGGTGGAGGCCAGCAGTGTCTCCCTGGCTCTGCCTTTGAGTAGTTTCATTTCTTCAGAAGATGAGCCAGGTGGAAGCTTGGCATCAAGCCCAATTTGCTTGTTATATGGTGGAGGAGAGAGGCCCAGAGAAAGTGACTTACTCATAGTCATACAACTAGTTGGTGACCAGGGTTAAAATTCCTGACTCCCATTTCACTGTGAAAAGAGTTGTGGCAAGAGGTTCAAGCAAGAGAATCCTTCAAAATTCTATACCCATGCTCTCTCCATTATCCATTCTGTCATTTTCCAACTCTTGTAGATGAACCACCCGGATATTGCCTTTAAATCCATTCCAGTTGTTAATCCTATCCAGGAATGATTGGGTGACAGCGGAGAAGCTGAACAGGTCGACAGTAGGATTTTTAGCATAGACTTCATTTGCTCACTCCCAAATTGCTCCTTTTCCTCTTCCTCCAATTCCCTTGTGGTATTTCTTCCCTCACTCTCCCACCCCTCTGCTGTGTGCATTTTCCCTGTTAACTACAACTTTTGATCCTATGCCTTTCTCTTAAATGAGTTTTGTTTTCATTTTGTCAATAAATGAATTAAACTAGAACTAATGCTTGGTCCTGTTTTTAGCATCAGACTCAATTAAGGTGGGGCGTTTGTGGAGCTTTTGTTGCTGTTAAGGCCTGGATAGTGCCTTTTCAAGATCACCTGGCTCAGGCTGTGCCTGCACAAATGAGAGCAGGTGCCGAGAGCAATATCCTTAAGGACCTCACAGCTGGTTCATGGCAGTGCTGGGAGGAGAGCCAGGCTGGCAAGCTCTTGCAGTTCATGTGGGCAGGGAGTAAAGAAGAATGGTGTCTGGTTGGAGAGAGTACAGTAGCAAGCACTGAACCCGCTCACTTACACTGGAAACTCGATATGGACCTAGATTTGGATATGACTTCCCTGAAATACAGTACATATTTCAAGGCTTCAGTTGACCCATCTATAAAATGTAGGGCAACAATTCCTAAGTTATGGGATTTTGTGTGGATTACATGAAATCTGTGTGAACAAGCTAGCCTGTTGCTTGGAAACAGAGTAAGCCTTCATAACTACTCTTCCTGCTCTGGTACTCTTGCTGTTCTCCTCCCTTAGACTCAGATCTTCTTACCAAGTTCCCCAATGCTTGGAGCTTTTTTCACTTGCCCAGATTTCTGTTCAGCAGTGGCACAGGCATGGAGTAGCAGGAGGGAGCTGTTTTTCCTAAGAGCTCACCAGCTCTGCACCCCATTACTCAACCAGGATTTAGAATGCACCTGCTCTATGCCAGGATTGGTCAGGTGTGGGGTGGATAATGATTGACCTGGGCTCTGCTTCACTGGTGCCCACAATCCGTGAGGGAGAAAGACAACTGAACAAACACACACAGTACAAGGTGGTAAGAGAAATAGCTAGGAATAGGAGCCCACAAAATGAGGCTCGGGATCTCAGCTCACACATCATTCAGAGGGCTATCCCAGGAACTCCATCTCCAAAAGTAATATATCCTCTCTCAATACAGGTTGGAGAGCAAAAGGATTCAGAACTCAAGTGATTAGGTGGCTGGACAATAATCCCTTTATTTTCTATTTTAAATAACTTTAAAAAGTAATAAGACTTTTGCCCACACTGTTTTTTGAGCCTTCTAATGCCAGATATTTCTCTTCACTGTTGAACAATTACAAGGGATGACCAGACATTTAAGATTCCTTCTTTCTGTGTGTGTGTGTGTGTGTGTGTGTGTGTGTGTGTGTGTGTGTGTAGTAATAGTAGTAGTAGTGGTGGTGGTGGTGGTGGTGGTGGTGAATAAATGAGGTTTGTCTACGATCCAACACTGTGTACATAAGACTAGTGGCCACTGTCTCTCATTTACAACCATCACAATTCTTCTATCTCATTTGGGGCACTGGCAAGGCAGGTGGGCTTCCCCATGTCTCCAACAGAGAACTTACAAAGTCAGTAGGCAGATAGTCCCATGACTTAGGGCAAACTAAAGATAAAGACTATCTTGTACTCTGTCCCAGTTCCTATGTCACAAAGCAGATAAACGTCCTGTGTTTGTAGATAAAATTGAACACATCTGGAAGATGGAAATATTGTAATAAGTAAAGTACCATTAGAAAACAACATTCTACCTGTTTGAAATTGCCTAAGAATCCCTTAGATACTCACAAGTTTTAGCTTTTTATTAATTTGCACTGTGACAGAAACTTATATATATTGAGTGCTTGTTCTGTGCCAGATACTATTCTAGGTGCTTTCTAACCCTGTGAAACAGACAACATTAACCTCCATTTTATAGATGAAGAAAATGAGGCACATATTGGTGAAGATCACGTGCACTGAAGGTCAGGTGCAGCTACTGAGAGGTTGGATCTGACTGGGGTCTCCTGTACCCAGTCTTAACTACTATACCCACTGCTTTTCACACAAGTATATTCATCTTGTTGTTAGAGTTACCCTACCCACCCCTTAATGTATGGCTTCTCCTTTGATTAAGCACTATATAGCATCAGTTAAAATGTCCCTATTTCAATGTAGTCCAGATTAAGATGACTTTCCTGAAATGGTCTTGATTTACCTTTGTTGGGTCTAAGAATAATTTTCCTGGTCCTGTTAAGTTTCTACTCAAATGACATGCACTTTTCTCCCACAAGGGTGCTCTTTTTCAGATTGTCACAATTTTGTACATGATAAAAGATGAAACGGTGATTGCAATCACTGGATCATGACAGATCTCAGAAATCATGCTATGAAATATAGATTTCATTCTGAAGCCCACTGGGAGATGCTAAAAGGGCTTTATTTAGATGGTGAAGTTCACTTAGATAGATCACTATGAAAACTTCCAAATGGAGAAAGCTTTAAGAGGGGAGAAAACTAGAGGCCAGAGGGGCAGTTAGGAAGCTTTCATAGAAATCTAGCTGAGAAGTGGTGGTTTGAGCCAGTGTGTTTGGGAAAGCAATGAATAGAACCACTGGATGTGAGTGTCTGAATGTGGAGGTTGTGCCTGAGGGTTGGCTGGGAGAAGGGCTGGTTTCTGGTTTGGGAAATAGAAAGTTCCACCTGTACACAGAAAAGAACAAGGGAAAAAATGATATAGTGAGCAAAGTTCAGATTGTAGCAGGTTGACTTCAAGATAGTGTTATGGTTTGTATCTAGATGTCCTCTAAAGCCTCATGCACTCATAGGTGGCACTTTGTAGATCTCCTAGGTCATGTGGTATTAAATTAGTTCACTGACTGGAATTAGTACAGTTCTAGGTTGCACCACCCAAAAGGTTGGCGGGTTGGCTATTTGCTGCTGCTTCTGCTGCTTCACTGCTTGCTGCTTTCTGCCTGTCATTCCATGACCTGTTTCTCCTCTGCAATGCCCCTCTGCCACACCGCTCTGTCTTGGAGCCAGCTGACTATGGATTGAAACCACTACAAACTGTGAGCTGAAATAAACCTTCCCTTCTTTAACTTTGGGTGTCAGGTATTTTGTCTCAGCAATGAAAAAAGTTACTAAGACAGATGTAATATCCAGTATATGAGGAAATAAGGGAAACCTGTATTTAAGAGAAGGGCAGTAGTGGGAAATTCTGCAAAAGAAGCTGGGCATGGGCAGGGAGGTTGTAGAAAAGCCCAGGGAGCACACAGTCAGAGACGTGAGGGCAGAGACTTCCTAGCAGGGTGTGGGCAAGAGGGGTCAAATGTTAGGGAGAGACTGAGCAGCAGGAGGACTAGGTGGTGCCTGTGGACTTTAGTGACGTGAAATTATGAGTGATTGGCTGAGGGCAGCTTAGGTGGAGCAGTGGAGGCCAGGGTTTACCAGTGACTAACATGAGAGCAGTTAATCACATTTCTGTAGATGCAAGGGCATAATGAGCTGAGGATGAGTGTGTCCCTGTCTTCAGCTACTGCTGTACCTCTCCTTTTTGCTTTTAGATTTGAGAGACTTGAACCTTACAGTTTAAGTGCTGAAGGGAAGGAGTGAGTACAGAATAAAGTAAAAGTGGAGAGTATGTTTGATGGGAATAGGCTCCGTGGCTTGCGGATGAAAATAGCTACCTTGACCAGAGAGCGACTTCAGCTTCTGCTCAACCAGACAGGAAGAAGCAGAGATGTGAAGGAAGGTGAGTTTGTGGGTGATGGAGGGAAGGGTTTCTGCCAGGGGTATCTGTTTTATTCAGTGAAGTAGAAAGTGAGGTGCCTACTGTTGATGGTGGGGCTAGTGCTGCAAAAGGATGAAGTAGAGAACAGAAGGCCACACTTGGATTCAGGGGAAGAGGAGAAAAGAAACTAGCAAAGGAAATCAGAGAAGAATTGCTTGGAATATGGAGGATCAGTTGTGGCAGGTGGGTGTGGATTTAGACTTACAGGGAATCTTTCATCAGTGGGACTTCTCTCTGTCACAATAAGCTGCCAGAGCAAGGGCATAGGGAAGGTGGGCAGCTCGGATTCTATTTCTAGGATCCTCAAAGTCAGAGCAGCTTTTGGCACCTGCAGAGGAACATTCACCACCACTTGTGCTTTATTTATTGTTTATGTATTTCATAAAACTTCTTAAGCAAAAACTGTTTAAGCATGTAAACACTATTTAAATAACAAACTAAAATCTACACATTTTACAAGTCAAATTATTTTAACATTGATTACAAATTTAATCAAATCCTACTAAACACTTCAATTGACTTAGCAGTCTAATATATCAACTTCTCTAAAAGGTTCACACACTTCAATAAATCAAAGACATCATTACAAAGATCATACAAATCTTAAGCTATACTTAAATCCATTATAAAAGTGGGTGTAAACCCAAGAGATGGATACTATCTCACTTCAGAATAATTCTTGAATTTGGCTATCAGAGCAAAGAACATTATCTCAAATCAAATCAGTGCTGATGAAAATTTAGATTAAACAATGAATTCTTGTTTTGGACCTGAAAATAGATTTGCTTTTTAAGATGATTAAAATCTAAGCCAGAATGTATCTTGGCATATCATAGGAATTTTCAAGCCACACATTTTCCATGCATTTAGTGCATTGTACTTTATGCCTTTTCTCTAGAAGGTGTCATCTGTGAGGTAAAGACTGTGATACACAGATGTATCAGACATGTCCCTCCCCTAATCCCTAGAACCTGTGAATATGTTATGTTATGTGCTAAAAGGGACTTTTCATAAGAAACTCAGGTTATGCACTTTAAGATTGGGAGATTATTTTGGATATTAGGGAGGGCCCAATTTAACCACATGAATCCTTAATCTTAGAGAACTTTCTCCATTTACGTCACAGAGATGTGGCAGAATGTTGGGTCAGAGAGACTCAAAGTTTGATAGAGACTTGGGCTGCAGCTGTTGCTTGGAAAGTAGAGGAGTCTAGGAATCTCATATCTATAACCACAAGGAACTGAATTCCAAATAAGTTTGGAAGTGGATTCTTCAAACTTTGGAAGGAAGGCAGCCTTGACTAAACCTTGCTTTTTACCTTGTTAAGCCTTAAATGGAGAATCCAGTTATGCCCTGCAAGACTTTTGACCTACTGAAACTGGCATAATAAAAAGATGGTGTTTTTTTGTTTTGTTTTGTTTTTTAATGGAAGTAAAATAATAAAAAGTTTATTTTGCCAGAAAAGGTCAATTGCATTAAGAGCTGTGTCAGTGAGTGACCATGTACTGGGTTACAACTACGTCTTTTACAGGGTATTACAGCCATGATCTCATTTAGGTGGTTACATTTCATTCCTCAGTTTAATTATGGTTACAAGATAGTTAACTTTAACCCAGATGCAACAATTCCTTGTAGTTAGGGAGTTTACCTTAAGAATCCTCTAGCTATCTATTCTAGTGCACAGAAAGGGGTTGTTCAAAGTCAGGAATGAGGCCAGATGTCCCAATTCATGGTCAATGTCTCCAGTATTTTGAACTAAATAACGCAGATTGCTATTAGAGATAGCAGAAGTCATTTTACGTTTTCCTAACATTTTGTAGGCTTTTAGATTATTTATGAAAGTTCTATCATTCTTCCCTTTGTTGTTTTTTTTGGGGGGTAACTCCTTACCCCCATTGAATTTCTGTCAATTATATCTAATGGATAGCTGAGTAAGGGGTACATAGTAAGCTTATTTTTAGATTATTTATGAAAGTTCTATCATTCTTCCCTTTGTTGTTTTTTTTGGGGGGGTAACTCCTTACCCCCCATTGAATTTCTGTCAATTATATCTAATGGATAGCTGAGTAAGGGGTACATAGTAAGCTTTATTGGCTCTAAGGGCAGGTCACTCATGATGCCAATTGCGTGAAAAGTCATCATGGTGAGTGGTGCACAAATCCAGCAATCAGAGACTCATTCCTGGTCTGCCTGTAGCAGCAGCGAATAAGTTCCATCAACTAAATCCAGCATATCTACTTCTATATAATTCTTTGGATACCCTTTTAAGATATTTTGAAATTTCCTGCAGCGCAGGAGTTTTTTCTAATTTTGGAGGGGGGCTCTTCCAGCACTTTTAAATCTGTATCCAAAAGATCGCGTTTTAAGCCACTGAATTTGCTGTAATTTGTTATGCAGCAATAGAAAACTAATACAACTTTATTATCAATATTAACAAATTGATGTAGCCTAATTGCATTTTGAAAAAATTTTAGTCATCTTACCCAATATCCATTCTTCTTTTCTTCCTGTGTTAGTATATGTGCTGCCAAAGCAAGCACTCTTCCTTTCTTGCTTAATTTTGGCTGACTCACAACTGAACATGGCTGCAGGAATAAGGACTGTGTTTCTTAGCCTATCTTCTTGGGTTGGTGTGGCCAAGTGACTAATTCTAGCCATAAGATACAATGAAAACAGTTGGGTGTACCTTTCAGAAAGTTTTTTTTTTTTTTTATAACGGAAAGGGGTGTTCCATTTATTCTTTTCTCCTTCCTGGGAGATGTTAGGCTGATGTAATGACTGGAGATCAAGGAGCCATCTTGGGTCACTAAAAGATGGTAGAACAGCGAGGAAACTTGGCTTTGATGATCATAAAACTGCCACTCATCCCTGAACTCTTTCATATGAGACAGAAGTAATTTTAAGTTGTTCTTTCACACAAAAAAAGTCACATATGTGGTAGTGGTGTATGTATTGCTGGTGCTTGAACTAAGAGCCTCATTTATGCTACACAGTGCTAGGCAAGTGCTCTACCATTGAGCTACATCCCCAGCTCTACTTTTTTAAAAACACAGATTTACACTAGTATTTTCAATTTAACTTGAACATTATTAATTTTTTGTTTGACTGTAATATGTAATTTCACATACATTTTCTCTACAGCACACCATACTGTCTTGTATCTGTAGCCCTTGGTTCAAACTGCATCCTCTCTCTCTCTCTCTCTCTCTCTCTCTCTCTCTCTAATGAGCCTTTGATGGTCTCATCTACTACTATTCTCCAGTTACTGCATGGATGGATGCATTCAGGTGGGACCAATGGAACGGTGGGGACAGGAGAGAGAGCATTTATGACACTGGCAGGTGAGCAGCTGAAGAGATGAGTCACGGAATTTCAGGTACGAGGAAGCATAAGAAGGAGAATATGACAGATCAGGAGAAAGGAGCGAGGTGCTGGGGACAGGTCAGAACAGGTACAGGGAAGGTAACTTAGTGAGATAGTGAACTTAGTAACTTAGTGAAAGAGGTGACCGTCAGCAGACTTCAAAAGTGGAGCAGTTCCAAGAGAGGGCTAAGCAAGAGGACACATGGTCACTGATGTGTTCCATGGTCCCTGTGTGACCTTCGACCCCTACCTCCAGATCTGTACACCAGCTCTCAGCTCTACTTGTGGCTAGAGCAAACACACACCCTCCAGTCTCTGGTGGAAGGTGAGGACAGAGTCCATCTGCGATGTGGCACAAATGAACAGCCAGGATCCCTGCTGCTAGTATATACAAGGGTTTATACAGTGAATGTTTAAATTTAAAAATATTATTTTTAGTAAATCATAACATGTCTCACTGTCCTCCCTACTTTCTGAACCAGTTCTGAAAGTGCTTTTTCATGAGTGTCTTTACGAGATGTGATCAAAAGTATGGTGAATGCTGCTACCTACTGCTATCCAATGGAAAGGCAGGCTTATAAAAACATTATAGAATGGCCTCATCCACTTTACTCACTGAATTTTGCTCTAGGCAACTTCTGGCTCTTCTCCAAAGTAAAAAAAAAAAAAAAGATGAAAAGTAAATGTTTTGAATCAATTATTTAGGCCATCATGGTAACTACGAAGTGCAAAGAAGAACACTCACAAAAGAGGACACCCAGGACTGCTTCAGAAAGTGGCAAGAATGATGGGCTAAGTGGGTTTGCAATATGTGTGTGTGTGTGTGTGTGTGTGTGTGTGTGTGAGGGAGGTGTATCTTGAGGGGTATTAATAACAATGTGAGGGGCTGGGGATTTAGCTCAGTGGTTCAGTGGCCTGCCTTGTAAGGGCAAGGACCTGAGTTCAATCCCCGGTACAAAACAAAACAAAAAAGAAAAACAAAAACAAAAAACCCCCAAAAAACCAATGTGTCCTTTACTATGATAATTTTTAAAAAATTAAACATTCACCATATTTTATGATCACATCTCACATGTAGAATATGCGCCAGGTTCAGGCTAAGCACACACCCGCTTCCTGCCTCACTAGCCACAGGCTCTGGACTGCTCTGTAGCCCTACCCACACTTCTGCTTGAGGCTGAGCCTCCTGCCTCAACCATACGGTGGTGTGGGCTGAGATCCACAATGCTGGCGCTGCCCACAGGAAGGACTGTGGGGTGCTCTGAGGCTGGTCCATCTGGGCCTCTGTGGGAGCCTGTCCAGGCTTACCTTTGCCACCTGTCCCCAAATAGCAGTGAGCAGGAAGCTGGGGTGGAAGAGCAGGAGAAGCAGAGAATGCAAAGTCATGCTGTGGGCCTCTGTCCCTGCCAAACCTTGCCCTGGGTTTAGGGCTACAGCACAGAGATGCAGTGGGACTGAGAGGGGACCTGTGCATTGGAGTGGGGTGACAAGGGCTGGGTCAAGGGTTGCCACAGCTCTGCTCTTGTCTTCTCTGGGTGTTTGGCACGGGATCTCATGCAAGGAGGTGGGATACAGGCAACCTGCAGGAGGTCTCTCTTGCCCCAACGATACTGTCCTAGGGCAGGGGGGCAAAGGCAGTAATTAGGGTGCATTTCTGTCTTTGAAAGGCCTGGGCCCTCAGAGTGGGAAGATGAGGAAGCCAGAGAAGCTTGAGTATTTCCAGCCACCCAGAAGATTACCCCGACGCAGGCGCAGGGACACCCTGTCCCCAGGGTCCAGGGGAAGCAGCACAGAGCTGGTGGCTGCCTCCCGGGTCACATCAGGGTCGTTGGCAAAAGCTGAGACGACGGGCCATGTGTTCAGCATCAAGCTTACCTGGCAAGGGGAGCCCAGTTAGAGCCCATTCATCAGCCCTTGGCATAGGACCCTCACTTTCCCAAGGGCTTCCTCTTGGGAATCTGGGTGTAATGGACTCTCCTGGGTAGGCTGAGGGGTGGCCGGAGTTTGACTCTGCACATCCTCCCCTCTTTAGGCAGGACCTTTCCTCCCATGCTCTTAGCCCCCAGGACACATGTCAGTAGAAGCTGAGCCCAAGGTTCAGCTGGGCTCTGCTGATGCTCTCTCCCTCCCCTCAGGAGCTGGGGATGGGAGCTGGGGCCCCATTGTTCTTGTCACCTGGACGGTCTGCCGGTTGTACACCTTCACCACATGGAACCGGAAGCTGTAGACTCCCCGAACTGGGGCTACAAAGGATCCAGAAGCCCGGTCAAAGCCGCCACCCTCATTCACCAGGACCTAGGGGAAGCAGATAGTGCCTGTGGGGCTGAAGGATGCCTGTGACTTATCAGGGTAGCCCTGGGCATGGGGCAGGGGCATAGTAAGGAAATGGAGGGTGAACAAGAGTGTAGTATTAAAAAAAAAATTGGTAAGAAAGGGCGAGGGTTGTGTGGGTGTGTGCTTGAGGGAAGTAAATGGATCAGTGGCCATCTTAGGGGAAAATGTAGGGAGCTATTTTTTTAAAGTCGAGGGACGGCAGAGTGGACTTGGATGGTCAATTCCAGGTCCTTAATAGATCCCCTGGACTGGGGCAGGGGGATTACCTGGTCAAAGTAGATGGCCCCACTGGTGCCGTTGCCGGTCTCCCCTGCTGGCTCATGGTGGTGGCTTCGGACTGCAGCAAATGCCACTCTTCCGTGGGGTGCCTCTCCCAGAGCTGCGCCCCCCGGTCCCCCTGCAGCAGCTCGGCCGGGCTCACAGACCACCAGGCATTCGCCCTCCAGCAGGACAGGCTCAGACCCCTCCTGGGCCCGCCCAACCCTCATAGCTAGAAGCCCTAGGGCCAAGGGCAACCCCAGGCTGTGTAAGGAAATTGGTACCCTGGGTCTTTTTGCTCCCAACATGGCTGAGTGCCCTGCCACCCTCAAGTACCCCTATCTTCTGCCCCTTTTCTGCTGCTTTTGGTTTCCACTCTGCCCTGGCTCTCACCACCCTCTACCTACTCCACTGCTCTCTCTCGCTGATCTCACTGTCACCTGGCCTCAGCACCTCCCTCTCCATCCCTAGGTCCCAGGCTTTGCCCTGCCTCCCACTCAGTTACTCCTGCGGTCACTGCAGTTCCCTCCTCCTTGGCAGAGCACGAAGTGACAGCAGTTGGACCCTGGGAGGGAGAAGAGGGATGAAGACGGGACAGGAGGGCTCATGCAGAGCTCCAGGGCCAGCAGAGCTCCGGGGCAGCCCTTCTGCCTGGGGTAGCACTGGAGACTGGTCCTGGAGGCTGGTCCTGGAGCCACAGGGAACTGTGTGTGTACGTGGTGCGGTGTGTATGTGCATTCACCCTGCAGCCCGTTCCTCCTTCTCAGGCCTCTCCTCTTCAAAGTCCCTCACACATCCTCAGCCTTCTGAGATCTGTTTCCATTTGTTTGGAAGAAAGGGGTGATTATTTCGGTGGAAAATGCTTGGGCGAAGACGTTCATTACCCTGGGACCCTGGGCCAGTCCCTCTTTCCCCCTTAGGTCTTCCACACCCTCATAAGAAGAGATCAACCTTCAACGCGTGGCCCCTCCTTCCCCAGAAACAACTGCACAGAGCGCCCAGAACTCCTGCGTCGGGGACCCTGTGCGAGCGCGGGGTGGAGTCGCGGGGAGGAGGAAGGACGCAGCTGAGCTTTTGGGGAGGCAGCTCAGGCCCTGCCGGGGAGGAGCTGCGCTGGCTCCGCCCCAGGCCAGGAAGTGACTCAAAACACAGTTTGAGATGTAAAGAGAGGTCCCCGTTGGGTGAGGAGCCCGGGAAGGCCCGCCCAGATTCGGGCCCCCTGCCCTTGTCCCCAGGGCCGGGGGCGCGGGTGAAGCTGGGCCCCGGCTGAGCTTTTGGGGAGGCAGCTCAGGCCCTGCCGGGGAGGAGCTGCGCTGGCTCCGCCCCAGGCCAGGAAGTGACTCAAAACACAGTTTGAGATGTAAAGAGAGGTCCCCGTTGGGTGAGGAGCCCGGGAAGGCCCGCCCAGATTCGGGCCCCCTGCCCTTGTCCCCAGGGCCGGGGGCGCGGGTGAAGCTGGGCCCCGGGG